TGGCCTTAGATTAAGAATAATTTAAGAGCATTATTGATATATATTGAATATCAAATGACTTGGAATAAAATATTGAAAATATTTTGAATGTTTGAACCATATATTGTGTGCATGATATCAAATGTTTGATTATGAATTGAGATTCAATTTATGTGGATGTTCGACGTTTTAGATATGCTTACTCAGCTTCACCGCTGAGCGTGTAGTATGTTTTATTTGCTACACGCAGGTAAACAGAAAGATTAATGTGATCCTGGCGGCAAATGGGGCGAGATTGTCGGGATGAATGTGACAAGTTTTGAAATGATTTATGATATGTCAATATTAAATTCGCTTCCGCAATATTGTTAAATACTCCGTACTGTATATGTTATGAAAAATATTATTGAGATTAATAAAGTGTGTTTGAAAAGTTTTAAATTTTACGATTACCAAGTTAAATACTTTAGTCCGAATGGGGCTGCAGACCTGGACGGATTAGGGTGTTACAGTTCTTGTCAAAGACCAGGAATTCAAATGCACAAGCTGGCCTAACCTGCAAATGTTAACCGCCATCCGTTTAGGTTCTCAATGGCAAAGAGATTAGTTTAGGGTTTGTATTAAACATATATGAATCATGATAATAAATACCATTTGGCGTGTGTCATGAAGAAAAAACTAGTTACGGTATTGTGCTTTTGTTAGTGTAGATGAAAAAAAATGGCATGATAGGAATGATTGAGGTAGTTTAATGGTTTGTTTAGCACGCAATCACGAACAGGGGGGCTGGTTATTACCTATAATGACTAGTAAGGCATTCAGACATTATAGTTTTAGGTCGTTTTGTGGGAGTGAATAAAGACAGCACGGATAATGACCAGGTATAATAGTGCATATGAATGCGTCTAATGACCATGGTTGGGGTGATTGGTCGTTATGTATAATGACAGGTAATGACCATGCTTGCTAGATTTTTTGTAGTGAAATTAAGTGTATGATGACTTATCTGAAATTTAATAAATGACCAGAAACTATTGTTATAACTGTGGTGTGTTGAATGGTAAGCGAGAGTTAATAATGATTGTGGTATGAGTACATATGAAAATTAGTATAAAATGACTTACTTCCATGACTGTTAACTTGGCCAATTCTCTGCGCTTATGGAACCAAACTTGCATCCTTCCCACTATAAAATCAACAAGTTGTGAAATTGGATATTCACGTGGGACAACATCAACATTGTTCATAGACTCGGCAAGGTTAGAAGTCATTATTGAGAAACGGTTTTTTGAGCACGATCTTGCCCACTTTTCTTTGCCGATTGCTTTAAGGTATCCAATGATCTTGGGGTCATCGCTGCTCAGATACCTCAAGAATCGGTCACACTCTACTTCAGAAGCTGCCCTTGCAGCACCATAAAATTTCTAGGATAAAGACTTCTCGGAGCTGTTAAAATAATCTTGATATTCCCGAGACTGTGGAATATGCAATGGCCATGACCCGCTTTAGGGAAAATAGATTTCACAGCCTTGATAATACCATCATGCGTGTCGGAGACAATATACTCCATTGGACGGTGTTTAAGAGCTTGCTTTACTCTTGTGAGCAACCAGTGCCAATTCACATCATTCTCTGCATCACATATGCCAAATGCTAGCAGAAATATCTGATTATTCCCATCACGTGCAACTGCGGTTAAGAGTGTCCCTTGTAATAAGATTTCATAAAGGACCCATCGATAATTAGGACAGGAACACAATGGGGTCATCCTTCTCTCCAAGGTGCGAGAGATGTGAAAAAAATACTTGAACAAGTGATCCGGGTTCGTGGTGAGTTGGATGAATGAACTAGGATTAGCCTAGCGGAGCATAAAACACATTGATGGCAGGGAAGCATATGATTCCTCTGGTGTTCCAAAACAAATTTTCAATGCCTTCTTTTTCGCGAACCATGCCTTCTTGTAATTCATTGCAATCCCATGTTCCCTACGCATGTCGGTAACAATTGAGTTGGGAGGATACAGCTTCATTGTTGCATCACAAAAGTTGTGTTTTACTAGCTCTGCAATGATCTGATAAGTAGCCTGACGTGTTGTGCCTTGCCGAACATCAATTGGGCATTGGTGTTCAGAATTGTACCTGTAAGACATTAAAGACATAATTAATGTGTTGTGAGAAAAGATATGTTTTTAAGATATTGTTCCTATAGACATTATCAGTGTAGTCATTATGTTTATAAGATATGTTGTGCCTTTTCGAACATCACTTGGGCATTGCTGTTCACGAGGGTACGTGTAAGACATTAATGACATAATGTAGACATTATGCACATAGACATTATGCAGTATAGACATTATGCACACTGCTTGTAACGCCCCAAAATATACCCTAAAATTTATTGAATTAAATATTCAATTAAACAAAATTTGTTTTGATTAAAATAAATTGTTGTTGGGCTTTGGGCTGAAATAAAATATATATTGATATCCAATAAACATAATTGGGATAAATCTCATAGAGATAAATCCAACATGTTGATTTATTGTGTGATATTGATTGAGAACCTGAGTACAGACCCAAATTAAGAATAAATGAAGAAATTGTTTATCATGTGAACTTTGAAATGATTTATTGAAATAAATCATGGAAATAAATAATATGAATTAAATGTGAGAACCTTTTTGAATAAAGGTCAATTAAACCAATTTTGACTCTGTCAAAGTCAACCACCCAAAAATATGATGTCGGAAAAAGTATAACGAATAAATATAAAAATTATATCGTTAGATAGAGTTTAACTGTCTGATCGCAACGGTGCAATCGGATTTCAATTCGGAGAAAGTTGGACCAAAAAGTGTTCCCCGACTGGGACCAAATTAGTCCCAATCAGGGACTTGCGTTTG